GCCGCCGCCGCCATGTTGGGCGCGGGCGGCTCTGAGGGAAGGGGTCGCGCGGCTCCAGCGGCACGGCCGGGGCTCGGAGCGCTCCCCTTCCCGCTCCCCTCGGCAGCGGCTCCCCTCGCCCTGCCCGTCTCTGCCGCATGTCCCAGGGATGSTGAATCCACCCGTCCAGCTCAGACACCCGCCATGTTCCTACCTCAGCCTTGACGGCCTCAGTGCCCGGCACTGCCCTTCTCTCAGGGAAGCTTCCCTTTCTGAGAGGCGCTGAGCAGCTATTCTACAATTGAACCAAACAGTTTTCAGCTTTGCTCAGCSCGGTTCCGTGCGGGGAAGTCACGAATTCCAGGCTGTGGTTTGAACTGCAGCCAGGCAGGGAGAAACGGGGCGCGTTGTGCTCAGCCCCACGGCCGCGGGCAGGGGCCCAGCCTGGAGCCGCTCCGCACCGTCGCTCATTCCCCTGCCCGGCTCCCCTGTGGGGTGCCCGTGTCCAGACCCCCTGGGAGCAGCGGGAGTCGGGCCGGGAGCTGCCGGCGGTCCCGCAGGAGCCTCCCCAATGCTGCTCCCGCATGTCCCGTCCCATCCCGATGCACGCGGAGTACGCGTCAACAGACCTCCTGGTCTGTTGAACACCATTAAAACTAATTGCTCCCCGTGCCGCGGAGTAACGCGGCTCCCGGGAGAGGTTTCACGTGAGCGTTTTGGAGAGCGGAGCGCACGGTGAAAGGGATTGCTGCAGGGCAGTGGGAGGTCTGGCCTTCTCACACGCTGTTTTCATATCGCCCGTGTTATTGCAGCGCGTGCAGCGCCAGGGCGTTCGGATGTGGTTTGCAGCCATTCAGACGCGAACACTTAGCGCGGTGGGGCCCAGGAGCGCGGCCCGGAGCCGCGGCCTCGTCTAGACGAGGGTTTAATGGCAGCGGCGGCAGCAAAGGTGGTCTAAGCTGCGCCACGTCCTTGCCTCTCTCGAGTAACGAAACTCAAACAATTTAGTGTGCAATAAATCCCGCGCTGTCAGGAACTTCCCAGGGCGTGTTCTGCAGCAGCACACGTTCCCCCTGGCCCCGTTTCAGCCTCCCAGTTCAATCCCAGAGCACRGGCTTCGGGAAAAGCTGGTGTGCTGGCCATTTAGGCCAGAGTCCCCTTGATGCAGCAAAACCACAAGGATCRGGGCAGAAAAGCAGCAGATGAAGCGTAAATGTGTCACATATAGGGTAACCTCCATGTGGACACCCATCCATAACTGCAGACAATTAACCAGGCACCCTGCGGGCCAGGCTCTCCCCTGAYGCCACAGGAAAGGCTCCGTGTGCTCCTGCGTCCCCCCGTTCTGGCCCAGGGACTGCAATTAAGAGCAGAATCAGCCTCTCTCCCGCCTGGGAGGATACAGTGGCACAGCCGGTTTCCATCCTGGCTAGCAGGCTSCGGCCTCAGGCTACCAAGTGCTGAGTAATTTTTACCCAGCTCTGCTTGCAGATAAATGATGTTCTCCTTTTAGCTGGTGCCAGGAAAAGCTACAAATACTTGGTCTTTTATTCCTTCCCCATAAACTCCCAACGTTGAATAGTACCATTGCAGCCAGGATTTCTTTGTTTCCATTGCCATTTATTCTCAGCATGGTCACAAATGTGTTACAGTTGCAGACACCCGCCCGTTTGCCAAAGCCCAGCTCTGGTTTCTCATTAACCTGCACCTTCCCATTAGAGGCTCCCTCAGTTGCAGTGATAGTTTGCAATTACCCTAAGGACCCACTTGCTTTTTTTTGGTTTTTTTTTTTTCTTTTTCTTTTTTTTTCTTTTCCTTTTCCTTTTCCTTTTCCTTTTCCTTTTTTCTTTTCTTTTTCCTTTTCTTTTTTTGCCCCAAAGCACATTCCAAAGGGAAAGCTTTAAATAACTTCACACTAATTTTCTGGAAGAGCCTAATGCGGAATGTCAGTCCTAAAAAGAAAAGCCCGCGTGTGAATGTGCAGTTTCGGTGATTTTGGTCACAGCAGGAACTATAAAGTAGCTAAAATTTGTTAAAATGAAACGTAGCACCAAGTGCTGGGCAAATGGAGCGYGGGCTCAGAGCAATGCAGGGCAGCTCAAAGGGATGGTACCGCAGCCCCAACAGTTTCCTTCAAGTTTCCTGCAGAGATCTTGAATTTTATAATAAATTGCATAAGAATTAGTTAAAAACTGTTAAAGGAAGTAGCGGTTATAATCCTGGGCATGCTGTTCTTCCACCCATCCCCAGGATGTGAAGCGAGCCCAGGGAGGAGGCTACAACCTGGTAAGAAATCCCAGGCAAGAAATACAGGGACACGGTCCGTGCCAGCGGCGCTTCGCATGGAGCGCTGCTCTTAAATGCCTCGWGGCGCACGGGGACGTCCTTTAGAAACACATTAGACAACGCGTGAGCACCACAGTTAGACAACGCAGGTTTTCATGTTTAATAGAAATTAAATTAGCAGCTTAATATACATAACGTGACGCTTTCCAGTCCGGCAGCTTTCCCGTGCTCGCTTTCAAGTCACGGAGCAAACACTGTACAAAAAATAGCAACAACAACGAAGAGCAAGCGGGGAGCAAACGCAGGCACCAAAGCGGGGGCGGCAGGCGGGGAGCGGCGGACACGAAGGCTACGGAGCAGGAGCGCGCGGGCGCTCTCACCGCGCGCCGTAGCCGTAGAAGAAGGGCTCGTCCGGGCGGTAGCCGTAGGCGGTGGCCGGGCGGCCGGGCGCCCCCGGGGACTGGCCGAATCCATCCGCGCCGACGCTGACGCTGCGGGAGGAGAGGAGAGGGGATGGGATGGGATGGGATGGGATGAGGCTGCGCGGCAGGGAGGGAAGGCCGGTGTGGAGGCCCTTCCTGCCACACGGACGGGCTGGAGAGGCGGCTCCGCTCCCTCTTCCCGCCTCGGGGGCTGCTTTCCACCTTCGGGTCCGGCGGGAATCACAGAGGAGAGGGAACGTGACTCCCTCCTGCGGTGCCCTTACCGACACAGCCCCTGGCCGCTGCAGCTCCACGTCCACCCTGTGCATTGCAGTTAACAGAGCTGCCGGGACGGCTTAAGGACGCTCGCTGTGAACCCCACACCAACCCCGCCAAACCCGGCACTCCTGGGAGTCTAACGCCCGTCCTGGAGACGGACAGAACGTTCCCAAACCCCCGGAGCGCCCCGACTGGGAACGAGAGAGCGAGAATGTCTGGCAGAGCAGCCTAGTTCAGCAAGGACACAGTGTTTCTGGTGGGACAGCGGACTGACAGCCAACTGGCAGGAAGAATTCATCACCTCCTAAAAGGCTGCGTTCTAATGAGACAGAATAACTCATTTTTTCACACGGAAAAGCATCTTTTACATCAGAAGTGTCCCGCAGCAATGAATTACACACTAAAGCACAGCAACTGCGTGGGGAAAAGTGGCACATACTTCGCGCTCAACAATAGCTCTCGCGCAGGGGGCAGAGAAAGAAGCGAGCGCTGCCCGGGACGCTGGCCTGCTGCCTGCCCATAGTCATGTCACTTCTCAACTTCCACTTCAGCAGGAGGACAAACGGAGAAGGCCTCTAATTTATTGTCTGACTACAGATGCATTGAAAGCAGCTGCACTTCCCTGCCGACCGCTGTCAAAACACAAAGAACCCGAGTGCCGGCGGAGCGGGGAGAAGCTGAACCTCGTTAGAGCCAATGGGACCCCGGGAGGAGGGCTGTGCCAGCGCGGGAAGGACAACGAGGGGTCCCGGCGCCGCTCGCTCGCTCGTTGGGGCCGCGGCGCCCAAATCCAGCACCCTGCCCTCGCAGAGCTGCTTTCCTGGGATTACGCCGCCGCCACGAGGTCCTCATCCTTTGGACTGCTCCTTCAGCAGGCGCCTTYGCTTAGGGCACCTTCCCATAAGCGTACGAGCGCTGAAAGGGCGAAGCCGAGATCTGCCCGCGGAGAAGGGGGAGGCTGAGAAGAAGGCTGCGCGTCACCCGCGCGTTCCCGAGGGCTGGAAAGGGCTTTGGAAGGGAACCTGGGGGCGCATCCACAGGGGCACCCACGTGGCCTCGTGGCCATCAGCCCCTTCGTGGCACCGCACGGCTWCGGGAACGCGGCCACCTTCCTCTGCCCCCCTTCCCAGCCCCGCTCCCACGTCCTGCCGCGCTTCTCCAAGCCCTCGTCGGAGCGAGGTGGCAACCTCTGAGCTGCCTTCTCTGCTCCTGGCACAGGACACCTCTCGTCAGCAGCCCTGGAACCTCAGGCAGCTGCTAAACAAGAGCTCCCTGCTGCAGAGGGGGTGAAGGAGGTTCGAGAACATCTTCGGCCCCTCCTAGCTCCCCGCTGGCTCCATCACCGACTCCCAACCCCAAACAACAACTTCCAAGCCCAAAGAACGACTCCCAAGCCCAAAGAACGCTGCTTTTCTTCTCCATTTGGGCTCGGAGCAGTAGCGACCGCGAGCCACACGGTGGCAATGGGTCTCCATCACTGCGGCCGGGCTGCGCCGGCTGCTTCCAGCTAACAGCCCTCAGCCCAGGAGCTTTTAAATGTATTTAAAGCGATGGAGGGGGGGAGTATGGTCTCGATTACCTTCTCAGCATTATATATATATGTATTTATAAAGGTGTAAGTAATTAGGTAAAGATCCCCAGAGTTCAAACTTTGAGGAGTACCAGTTATTTCCAAATGGTTTCGACATATGTTAACGTCCTGAAGAAAACTGGAAGAGATGGATCAGCTGATAACTGTTTTGGACACTAAATTAAAAAAGTAATAATAATAATAAAAAAAAGGACACAGAATTACACAAAATTGCACTGAAGCAGCTTGCCCACGTGGCCACCCTCGGCGGGCACCGTTTGGGCCGCGGGCTCGGGGCTTGGCGCCGGTGACGAGGCCGGTGGTGCCGCCGGTCGCGCCGCCGGCCTCGCCGCGCGCTCCGAGCCCCTCCGCTTCCCGGCGCCGCCCGGCACCGGCCCGGGGCCCACAGAGTTAAACGGCACAGCTAATTACCGTGTACTGCTAACCTCGGTTGCTGGTTCATTTTGAGAGCCTTTAAAATATGAGCTGTGTATTTTACCCCTATGCACTCTCTTAATGATTTGTTTTTTTTAGGCTGAAATCACTTCCAGCCATCAGTTATGCTCGCGGTCTCTACACATGCACTTCTCCAAGCACAAATATTTCTTTTTCCTATTGGTCTGCCAGCCCCTGTCAGAGCAAATTTCACTTTAAACTAAATGCTATGATACTTAAAACCTCTTGGATTACTCAGGCTGCTAGTGTGATCTATGACCTTCCCCCAATGACAGCTGAACTTTCCAATTTGCTTGTACTGCCGGCGAGCTGAAGAACACATGCTGAAGAGGAAAACATTCCTCATGTGCACGGGTGAGGAGAGATTTCCCAACAGCTTATTGATACTCGCTCCGATCCCCAACGCGGGGACGGGCAGGCCGAGCCGAACTCCGCGGTGCCCTGGCATCATCTCAAACACAAATGCCAGGGGGTCCCCGCGGGCTGGAAATGCCCCCGCTGTCCCGCTCTGCCCACGCAGCCCCTGCCCCGCACGCAGGCGGCTCCACCAGCTGCTGAGCTCAGCCCAGACCCGTCCCAGGCCCTGCTGATCCCAGCTCCGCATGGACCAGGCTCCCAGCGACACAGGTTTTAAAGGGTCTCCACTTAGGAGATAAGCCCAAGCCTTGATAAGCCCAAGCAGACTCTGCTTACAGCGCCGAGCTTGTGGGCAAGCCTACAGACTCCTAGGGATTCATCCCGAGTTCTCCRCACGCTCCACTGAGCTGCCAGGTTAGGCCCTAACTACACAGTTGGTGTKTGTGCACTGGGAGCCTCCTCCTGCACCACTGAGCACACCTGGGGCTGCCAAAGCCGCCTCCCCAGCTGGGGAGCAGGAAGGTCTCCAGGCTGACCGAGCTGGAGCAAGCCCCCAGCCTCTTCCCGGCACGTTGTGGTCGTGTTCCGGATAAAGCAGCTCCTTGCTGTCAGGCACAGCCCTCTGGCTGCTGCAGGGCCTCCCGGACCTCCTTCCTATGACTCTTAGCCGCGTGTGACGGCGTCACTGATGGCACAGGGCGCAATTCCCGCCCTACCCTCTCCTTCCAAACCCACATGCCAGGAGCTCCTGTAATTTATAACGCTGCACCAAGCTCCTGTACAGGGCAGAGAGAATAAATTACSTTCAAATGAACGCTGAAAGCCGTATTTCTCCCCCCTCAGGAGCTACATAGGCCACAGAAAGGGAGCCCCGCTCCCCGTAGCCTCGAGCCAAGCGCAGCATTCCAGCCCGCACAACGGAGAGGCAGCTTGTTGGGTATAACACTTGTCAGCAGCAGACACGGGGCTTTGCCTGCATTAAAAACGTGCTCCTTGCCCGCACTCTGCGGCTCCCGCAGAAAGGCCCTAATTCCCCGGCCCGAGTGGGAGCAGGGAGCAGCTGAGGCCGMGGGCCCGGCGGCCCCGAGGGCTGCGGGAAGCGGCAGGGAGGCGCAGGGGCAGCGGCTCCGGCTCCGGCTCCGCAGCGAGGGCGACGCTCTGCCCTCGCTCGGGGCTGCTGGCTGAGAACACGATCCCGGCTACTCCTCCGCGCCGGCTACCCGGCTCCACCAGCCACGAGTTTTCGCCCTTCAGAGCACAAGACTTACGATAAGGAAAAGAGCATCAAATTGAGCAGCTYAAAAAAGTTTCATTATATGTCCTGTAACTGTAGATTTCCTTGCTCTTGGTAATGACGTTAAACTGTAAACCACAAGTCTCAAATTATGCCTCTCAGCTCCACTCTCCCTCCTATCTATGAAGCATTTTTCCCTTTTCCATACCGTCTATCCCTCGAGCTCCAGCGGGAGGGAGCTTTGCGGCCTGGCCCTTGCACACTGCATCAAACACCCTGTCTGCTTCAGCATTCCGTGCTCAGCTTCCTCGCGCAGTYGCCCCATCCTGCTCACAAGGTAGGAAACATCAGGATGAGCCTGTTCAGCCCTTACTCAGCTCCCCCACATGCTACGATACCGCGTTGATAGCGGRGATCACGTCTCCCCCTTGCACATGATCCTCCTTCCTTCAGTGCACTCGACATCCCAAGCTTCCAGCTGCTCCTGGACTTGATGCCCCGGGGTATCACGGCATAAATGGCAGCGCCAGCAGCACTGATCATAAACAAATGCAGAATGTGGCACTGCAGAGCAACGAGCACTAGGTCTTCCGTGTCTGGGTCAAGCCATGCATCAAGCACGCCACAATTCACTGGTGGGAAAAGAGCGCTGCAAAAAAATGTTGTCCAGCCGAACAGCAGGAGAGCTAAACTGGGCTAAAAAGGGCCCTGCTGAGGCAAATTCAGGGGGAGTTTTGCCTGAAAGCAGCACAACTTGTCACCCCTACTGTGTGAAAGCAGCTGCTGCTCTGTGCCCTGCTCTGAGATGTGGGTGAGTTGCTCCTCTTCACCGGGGCCTGGGTTCCCAGAGCGCGGAGAAGATAAAAACCGACTGTCTTTATACGGCCAACGGAGACATCTCCCACGCTGCTGGCTCCACAGCCGGCCAAAGGCACCGAATAGATGTATCCAGTTGTAGAAAACTAATTAAAAACTAAAGCAAATGGAAGAGCCTGGAGAGGCAGGCAATAAAATAGGAAGCTATCCTGTCCTCCCCCTGTCCTCACACCGGCCCAGGGGTCTGCGCCAGCTCCATAAAGTGAAGTGCAGGTTGCCTTGAGCTCGCACKCCGGGGAGGTCTCCGGCATCCCCCGCTGCGCTCCGGGGAGGCCAGTGCCACCCCAGGAC